CGCACACCTTCATTCTTAGGATGTCACAATTTGGTAATTCAGAAAAAGCAGAAGAAGTCAAAAGTAAAAGCAGCACATTTGTGGTTAGTGTGGAACAATTCATCCACAAATTGGTTTGAAACATGTTGGTTGGTAGATTTAATACAAATTGCATTGGATCAAGCCGAATTACACGAAGGTCAATTCATCAGCCATTCCCTCAATGGTCATGTTCACTATGTCTGAATTTTTTAATCAACTGTTGAAATTTTAAGTATGGAATTCTGCATCCGCAATGTCGTCCAAGTGCTTCTCTGTCTTGTCTGGGAATTTGTGTGGGGTCACAGCATCATTGTGAGACGCATAACAGGAGTTAAGTATCCCGTTAGGAGCCTCGCTCACTGAGCCAAAATCTCATCAGCCACTCATCCCCCCCACGCACCCCCTGAACCCCCCATTTTATTCCGTTTTCTCAGAATAGACACGCCGGATGCTGTCGTCTGTAGCAACGTCGCCATCCATGCGGGGTGCATCTTTGTAGGAAAGGCTGAGCCTTGCACTCACAAAGCCAGTTGTGTGTGTGTGTGTGTGTGTGTGTGTGTGTGTGTGTGTGTGTGTGTGTGTGTGTGTGTGTGTGTGTGTGTGTGTGTGTGTGTGTGATGCGATGCTTTGAGCTTGCACAGAAGCGCACCATGACTTGTGGGAGCGCTTTCCAGAATCTGGCAGCACAGACAGCACCATGTTGCACACTTAGGCACACACGTGCGTACACATACACACAAACACATTTACACACTTACAGTGCCTAGCCACACACACACACACACACACACACACACACACACACACACACACACACACACACACAGATATGCTCATATGCACATGCAAGCAGACACATACACATGTACGCGTGCACTCACATGTGCATACACTTGGACATACACTTAGGAACACACCATAAAATGTGTGCATTTTATATACCCCCACCCCACATAGACTTAAACACACACACACACACACACGCACACGCACACACACACACAAGATGTAGGTCACTTAGTCTTGGCACACACTGGCCTCCATAAAAATTCTTCTAATGTATCATTGAGTGCCAGTGGTGCTAAGTGACCAATTCCAAACACTACCAGAAATGCGACAAGATCGCTTTACAAAAGTCAAGATGGAAAGCAAAACTTCATTGTCAAGGTTGTGCAAACATTTTCCCACTAGTATATCAAAAATGTTTGCTTGGTTTATGTTTGAGCAATTTGGCCTCACAGGTAGCTTGCAAGCTAACGTGAACTCCACTTCGTGATATCAATTTGACCATCTGACCAGCATGTCCGCGGCATCATCAAAAGTGCAGGGATCATCGGTTTATTAGATAAGTGTGAAATAGATACCGCAAGTCAAGTTTGTTATTTTTGTTATTCACATAGCCCTTCATCACAAAAGATTCTCAAGGAGCTTCACAAGCCCACAGTTGACAAATATTAACAACCTCCCCTGACCTTAACTCCACAGGAGGGAAAGGGAAAACTCAAATTAGCCCATTGGGTGGTAAAATAACAACCTTGAGAAGGGGCCGCAGATATGGTAATCCCCTTTCCAGGATGACCACGCTGCAATGGATGCCGATTGGGCAACGTTTATCCGATAGAATAATACAATACAAATACAATATTAAGTAAAGTCCGTTTAACGGTGTGAAGCACGACAGTAAGATGCCTCTGGAGAAGTGTGTCTTCCTCAAAGCCTATCCTGTAAACGCTGGCCATAAAACTAAGATGCCTCACTGTGTGTGCGTGTCCTGACTTCTGGAATGACCCAAAGCCCGCAGCCAAAGGACCTCCAAGCGCTTGCGAAGATTCGTTAGGTCAAAGGAGTTCAAAGAGATGAGAAGGTCCAAGACCATTCAGACATTTAAGAAGCAATTAAAAAAAAAATCGATCCTAAAGCACACAGGAAGCCAATGCAGTGATTTTGAAATCAGCGTAATATGCTCCTGCCTTTCCGGTCTTCATCATGAAACGCGCTGCCGAGTTCTGTCATCATTGTAACACTTGGAATGATTTTTTTGGGGGAAGACCGGAAAGTAGGGCATTACAGTAGTCAATCCGATTTGCGATAAAAGCATGCATTAGCTTCTCAGTGTTTGCCCGAGAGAGAAAAGGGCGGACTCTGGTAATATTCTTTAAGTAGTAAAAAACTATTTTTGTTCACTTTTTAACGTGCGGTGCAAAATTGAGCTCCGAGTCAAGAATCACACGCGGGGTTCTCACTTGTGATGAGGCTTTATGGAGGACGCTTCGCATGTTCAAATAGGAGAAGGCTGAAATCATCAGTCAAAGCACCCTGCCCCCTGTTTTTTCAATGCCCTCCTCACATGACATTCAAGACTTTGTTTCTCGTACTTGTTTTGTGTTTTTTTTGATTTGATGGCGTTTATGTTTGGTTCGTGTTGTTTTTTTGTTGTTGTGCTGCGCTGTATTTTTTATTCTGGTTGTGTTGCTTTTGTTTTGTGTTATGAATGTTGCTTGTGTTGGGTTTTTTTGTGTGTTTCAGTTGATTTGGTCTTGTGCCTGTGTTGTGCTTCATTTGTCAGGTGTTTTGTGTTGTGTTCAAACTGTATTTGCATTGTTTCGTGTATGCGTTGTGTTTTTGTGCTACTTTTCTGTTGCGTTCTAGGTTTTTGCATCGTGTTTTTGGGTGAGTTGTGTTGCACTTATGTTTCAGTTGTTTTATCTTGCTTACATGTTTTATTTGTCTGGTGCTCATATTTGTGTTCTTTTGCATGTGTTGTATTTGTGTTTTTGTATTTTTGTTGTTTGTGTTGTGTTTTTGTTAAATTGTGTTTTGGTTGTATTTGTCTTGTACCTGTGCTATTTTATTTATTTATTTTTTATTTGTCTGTTCTTCATACTCTGGGTTGTTTTGTGTGTTGTTGTGTTTGTGAAATGTGGGGTTCCTCCTCTGCCACCACTGCCCTTTTCACACATGCTACTGCACTGCACATTTCAATAATCTCAATGCAAACATGCATCATCAACACTTCGACGCTTGATGTGCTTTTAATTGCAAGGTGGACAAGGAAGGAAGGAACAGGGAAAATACTAAACTGGCATAGTGTCGATCACTTTTTTGTTTGTTTTGAAATGTTTAAAAAGTGACCTTTTACAGTCTCCACCCAAGCTCCATCACACACATAATAAGGCACATTGCCATATTGAAAACATCACAGACACACAAGAAGACAAATAAGAAGAAGAAGCAGCGAAGACTCATTAGTCTCTCCTCCAACTCGTGATGGGGAAATGAAGCCTCAAATTTGCTTCATGAACCTTTTTTTTTTTTTTACTCCTCTTGATGACACTCTTTGTTCAACGTTGGGCTGAAAGCACACTGACTTGCCCATTCCAGAAACCCTTTTATTTAAACCAACAGTGCCATTAACAGAGTAAAAAAATAAATAAAAATAATACAACTGCTTCATGAAGCAAACCTGAAGCTTCATTTTCTCATCACGACCTCCAACACAACATGTGTTCTTCCAAGCACAACTTTAATTTCAATGAAGCAATTGAAAATTACAATGGGCTAACTCAATTGTTGTAAACATTGACTACTGGTGTAAATGAAGGTCTGGTTCCAATTTTGACATCGGGTCCAGTCCAATCTCCACTTTCTGATTCATCAGTGCAACACTTGGCCAAAATGCCTAAAAGTGACTTTCAGTTATTGATAGAAGACTCAGAAAGTAAGCAGTGCTTTAGCTTGGGTCCCAATGAAACTTTTATGAAATATTGATTGATTTAATGAATGTTTGGATTTATGCCACTATTTTAAGAAACCCTTTTTTTCTAATCCCAATTTGTTGCTCTGCATTCAGGCAACCCAGATTATATGAACTGGGATCCAAACTATGCAGAGGATGAGAGTAACTCAATTACAGATAAAAATGTCATTATAGTTCGTCAGTCAAAATATTTGTCAAAGTGCCAAAATCGGAGGTAAATGGCAGTTTCTGTAAAATAATGAACAAGAAGTAACCATTGCCAGATAGATAGATAGATGGATAGGATGATATTTATTCCCCCCCATAATATAACTTTTTTCAATTTTTTTCTACTTTTTCCTCTTATTTCTACATTTGTATTGCAGCATTACACGCTATATTTTGTAACATTGCAAATATATTATATTTTATATTAATTTTTTTTTCCATGATGTTTTCACTGTCATAATGCAACTATGGCTATTTTAGTTACATTTCATCTTGATCCTTGAGATTTTTATTTATTTTGTCTTGTAATATCACCGCTTTATTTAGGTCACATTGAGATTTTTTTCTCGATAAATATTGTAACATTCTTGTAACATTAAGAATTTGAATCTGATGAATTTACATTTTTCTTTTTTTTTTTTCAGAAATATTTCTTGTAATAGTTGGACTTGACTTTCCCTTCAGCATTTTGGCTTTATTTCCATGTTAGATTTCATTTTAATATTTTGGCTTTACTCTCACAATATTTCAACATTTTTATCAAGATATCCTCATAATCTCAACGCTTTTTTCATATTTTCCCGAGAATTAGGTTTCATTGTCTTTTGGTGATTCAGACTTCATTTGTTAAATGTGACTTATTTGTCGCTTAGTATTCATAATCTTTCTACTTTTTTTTTGCCATATTTGCACCAATTGAGTCTTGTAAATTTAAAATGTGTTTGTCTTGTAATATTTTAACTGTCATTTTGTGAGTAGGACATTTTTCCTGTATTATTTCAAGTATATTCTGCCCGTCTTTAAAACTCATCTCAAAACTCATTTCTATTCTTTGGCTTTTGACCCAGTATGACTCAGACTTGATTTTTTTTGATTTACTGTTTTTGTGCTTTCGACTGTCCTTGTTATTAATTTATTGTTTTATTGTTTGTTGTCTCTTTTCTGTTTCTACTATTGCTTGGGTGAACACATGCATGTGCATGTAACTGGCCATTTGAATAAAGGGATTCTATGATTAGACACGTTCTTTTATATAAAAACAAAAGTATCAAAAGCAACATAATTCCATGAAGACGTAAATGTAATGTAGTTCTTTTTTTTTTTTTGTACAAGTTGTCCATTGCGCTCACATTCAGTCCTGCCCAAATACTGTCCCACTCATTGTGCTGTTTCAACCGTGGGCCATATTACGCAAAAAGGTACACACTAGAAATGCATACATTGGAGTATTATCATTATTACAATGAGAACCTACAAAAAGACCATGAGAATAAACATCATAACAATAATAAAAAGTCAGTGGGGTATTGCAAAGGTCCTCTTCCTTACCACCGTCATGAACCTATTTACATCATAATAACAAAGCTATCAAAAAACAAAATGCTCCAAAAGATCCTCCTAAAAATGTTTTTTTTTTTTTGGGGGGGGGGGGGGGTGGGGGTCCCTTTTTTTTATAGTCTACATACCACAATGTCCATCCCACATATTTACAAGCCTTTTAGAAAATAATTTAATTATAGTTATACATTTTCTACACTGCTCGGACCGGTCAGTTACGGAGGCTGCAACATTAGGTAGACCAATGAAACCTCATTGGTTCATAGGGTCTTGGTGGGCGGGGCTAACAGTCGCAGGGCGTCTTTGTGGGGTGGGCGGTCACAGAGACGAAGTGGTTGAGTCGACAATTTCTCTGCCGTTGCACACGGTCGGGACGTAGTGGGCGCTGACGGAAGCTGCAAACAAAATGAAATCGCATTTCATAAAAATGACATTTGCTATTTATGGCCAAAAAGCCTTTCAATGGGTCCTGACCAAATTAATATGTATGGCTTGATTGGTGGAAATGAATTTGATTAACTGGGAAACATGCCTGAAATTTGAAAAAAATGCAACTTTATATTGATTTGTTGCACTTTTAGCCATCCCTAATATTTTGACCCTACCATATAAGCATCCAATGTGGCTCGTGATGAAAATGAGTTTGAGGTGCCCAGTAAATATTGATGACAGCAAATTGAGTGTGAAAAAAAAAGTCAGCGAAAATTATGGCCAAACACAGTACAACGCTACAGTACGTAACTTGTGCCCCTCCACCCCCACCCCAGGCTATAATTCTGCACCTTGTTGGGCTGCTCAGCAAGACCTTGGACAAATGTTGAGTTTAATTGCGACAGTCATTATTTTCACTTGAATAATGATTTGCGTTTCCAAAGAAATTTCTGGATGATTCTTCTCTGTTTAGTTTGCTTTTTACAAATTGGATACGAGCATACTCAATTGCTAGGTAGATAACATCATTTACGCGATGTGATTACTGTATCAGTGGGCCAGTGCAAATGATGGCGGTCGACACAAAATATCAATGATCAAATACGGAAAAATAAAGCCAGATGTTAGATCAGTTATTAACCTTAATCAGAAATGTGTCATCCCCTCTAGTATTGGTTTAAGTGAAAGGGACTTCTTTTTTTTTAAAGCAAGAAAAATAGAGTAGATATTTCATTTGCTTTCGAGGGCCACAAAAAATGAGGTGACAGGCCCTCTTTTGCCCACTGGCCTCGAGTTTGACACCATACCGTGAGATGCGTAGGAGACGGCGGCCGCCCCGCTGACGCTGAAGCGATTGAGGTTGAGCCTGTGACTGGTGACGTTCTTCTGGGGCTGGAACATGATGATATGAACCTTGGGAGCAAACATGCAGCCCAGCACCACGAAGCCGCTCAGGCTCACTGAGATGCACATGGTGGTCGTCTGGACCTGAAAGCACACCCATCGTAGTGTGAACAAAACTTTAACAGCACGGTGCTACCTTGACTTACCGCTGACCCAACTCGACTTTTTCCAGCTGTGAGATGTCACTGAGATATTTTTTTTTTGCTTTGTCATGGGAGCCTGAGTAACTCCAACTCTCAACATTAAAATGCCAATCAGTTTGCTAAAAATGATGCTTTTCCCTTATGTTTGTGTAGATTTCCAACCACATAGGTTGAACGGGGGCAACTAGACTCTTCCTGTTTGAAAAGTTTTTTTTTCTTGTTCTACGAAAATGTTCAACAATGACTGAGGCAACTGTGCTATTAGGCTAATGATTTTTGTGTTGAACCTGTTTGTCTCTTTCAATAAACGGCTTCGGTGCATCGTTGACCATGGCTCTCCTTGCCCACAGGTGAGGGCATTACGATACAAACGCTCCATTTTTTTTTCCTGATAATTCAGGTCACCACGCAGAATGATGCCATTTGTCTCAGTTTTTCGAACAGGAGAAATATCGATAATGATATGAATGCTTGTGTCAGGTGAAAGGTAGTAAGTACTCTGTAGTCACTGGACGTGACATAGAAGATGGGCAGAAAGGCCAGCCAGATGATGCAGGTGGTGTACATGGTGAAGCCAATAAACTTTGCCTCGTTGAAGTTCTCGGGGCACTTCCTGGTCTTGAAGGCATATCTACATGGGAGACAATCATATTCATATTAAGAAAGCAGCGGTGGCGAGTAAGCAAGTGCAAATACGTTATTTACTGTTCTCATGTGGATTTCTCAGGTGTCTGTACTTTACTTACTACAGCGCAGTATGCATTTTTTTTTTTTTGCTGATGTTCTTCCTACTCTAAAAAGACATACCGTATATTCCGCACTAAAAGGCGCACCTAAAAGCCTTCCGTTTTCTTAAAAGCTCACAGCGCGCCTGACAATCCGATGCGCCTTGTGTATGGTCATTACGGTAATATTGCGACCCCAAAACGGCTCCTTGCTCGAGACATGCTGACAACGCAGAGTTCAAACTTAAGGCGACCGGTTACGCAGTTGAACACGGAAATAGAGCAGCGGCAAGAGAGTTCAACGTTAACGAGTCAATGTTATAACTTGCTGTTGGTTAAGTGAACTGTGTCGCTGCTTTATTAAATACATTTTACTGACATCTGATCGTTCTGTTGGTGTTTCCTTGAGCGTATCTCCATCTGGTGGATGCATTGTAGATTGCGTCTCATAATGCGGTGCACCTTTTAGTGTGGAAAATATGGTAACCTGTCTGTTAAATCTAAAATCCATTTTCGTAAACAAGGGTCAAATTTGACCTGCAGCATCCTCAGCACTTTGTAGCACCTCGCAAAGCATTTACATTTTGAAAGATTTTAATTTTGTTTTGGTTGACTTGAGGAAAAGTCAACAAGTTTCAGGGTAAAAGAATGACATCTAAGGTGTTTTTATTGGTGCCAACATGGGTCAAATTTGACCCAAGTAGTAAGTGTTAGGTTCAGATCTGAACACAGGAACTTGACTTTCTCTCATTCAATTGTTTCATTCTTTCAATCAGCGGCAAAACATGGCATAGTTTCACCCCCCCCCCCAAAAAAAACAAATTTCTGATCAAAAAGCGGAGAAAATTTGCTTTTTCTAAAAAAAAAAAAAAAAAGACATGTCAAGCAGAAAAAAAACGCTTATATTTTCTGCTTTTGTGACATCTCAAACTTTAAGATAAGAAAAACGATAGCCAAGTAATCAGAGTCTGTCATTTTATTTTGTGGGAGTGGGTGTACTTTCAAAATCATTGTCACAAACAAATTAACAACAACCCACTGGGTGGCACTTATCCATATTTAAGAGGTATCTACATACAATATCAGAGTCTATACCTTCTTATTTTTACTTAAGTATGAGAGACTAATCAGTACTTCAACTAGCTGATTTTTCCACAAGTGTCTGACCTTAGGAAAAACACCAGCACTTTTTCGACAACTGTCAAAAACAAATGAACAACAAACAGGAGGGATGACACTTACACAGTACACAGGATGACCAGGAGTACGTCGTAGCTGAGTGACAGCAGCATGCTGGCGTCGCGCACGTTGCACTTGAGGATGACCGTCTGCCGGCGCTCGGGCAGCGTGAAGCGCCGCGTGCCTGGAACTTCCAGCAGCAGCCACACGGACACCATCACCAACTGCACCGAAATCAGGCTCAGGCAAATGAAGACCTGCGACACACGGGGAGTGCTCGGGTCAGGACCTCGCTGAACTATGTCATGTTGTGTCGGTCATTTTGGCCTACGCTGACTTGAGAAGACGGGCTGATGAAGCGCGGCCTGGCAGCACCCGCTCCGTCCTTGACGCCACCGAAGATCCTGGCGATGCGATTGGTTTTGGTGAGCAGTGCCGAGTAGCAGACGGCGAACGATGTGCCCAGGCCGAGGCGGCGCAAGGCGCAGATGGCCGGCGACGGCTTGGCCAGGAAAAGGAAGGTCATGGCGTAAGACATGAAGACGCCCAAGAGGAGGATGTAGCACAGCTCGCGGCCCGACGCCTTCACCAGTGGCGTGTCATTGTGGCGGACCAACACCCACAGCACCAGGCCCGTGCACAAGAAGCTAGAGGGGTAGATTTACCATAGCATGCATGTACATCAGTTCGTATTTGTGGATGTAATTTCTAGATCAGCTTGAACATGGACAAACATTTTCTTTCACATAGAGAAAAATAAAAGGTTGCTCAGCATCACACTCTATAGAATCATCTTGAGTAAGACAATTATTAAATAATCAAAATCAAATATTCAAAATATTTCCAAATCTATTTTTAAATGACTTAAACAGTATATATATTTCATGATAAATTTGTTTCCATTCATTTCTATTGTCTGAGTTTGTGATGCATTTCCAGTCTGGTGCGCACAAATCTTCACCCGTCGACACCCATTAAAAACTTGATTTGCGTGGTAGCACCTCTACATTGCAATAGATAGCACCAAAGTGGGGCACAACAATCAAATGCCCTGAGCTGGCCAGCTTGTCATTCAGCGACATCCAATTATGACCTTGGCCCCTTGCTGGGAAGGACGTCGTATGCAAACAGGTTCAACTTCAAGAGTGGAGAGATCAAGTAATTCAGTGAAGTGACTTAACACCTTTTGTGAAGCCAAACCATCAGGAGAGTAACAAAAACCTCAATCTGAGCGACATGCACAGCAACCCATAGACACATGCTCTTTGGAAGGCTCATGCTTTATTCTGCTTTAGTCCGCCTCATAAAATCAACCGAGCAATGGCTCGTCACTGGAAAAAGAAACTTGTCATTTGGGACACTCGTAAATCCAGATACCACAGAATTTACTGGAATCATGACTTTAGTGTTGCATGAGTGTAGGTTACTTCACACTTAGGTACACATTCAAGAGAGTACCTTCATCATAACCAAGTGAAGCACCCAAATCATTTTCTGGAGGTTTAATCTGCTTGGGTTGAAGCGAGCGCAGACACGATGCATGACGATCATCACTCACCCCACACAGGCGATGGTAATGGGCCCGATGGCCCATGCGTCTTCCCACATGATGTAATCCTCAGGGAGCTCGTAGCAGGACGTCAGGTCGTCGGTGGGCCACTGACCCGGAGCGCAGGGTGAGCAAGTGAACTCGTCAGCCAGGTATTCGTGAGGCTCGCATGCAGTACAGATCCAGCAACAGTACTCGCCTGCGACGCAGATAGAAAAACAAAACAAAACAAAAAAAAACTGGCGATAGGATTTGATCTGCTCTCGGACTGATAATGTGTAGTGAAAATTCAAGCAACGGCTGTCCCACCTGCCTGCATTTTCTTCATCTCATTGCGCTCGCAGGGGTCGCTGCATTGCGAGGTGGGCGCTGCCTCCCTGGGCCACTGAATCAGACCGCCATTAAGACTGAGACTCTCGGCCCATTCGCCGACCGGCACGTAAGCGTAGCGTTCGCCGGAGCGCTGGTAGCTGAAAATGTTGTAGCGGCCTACGCCGTCGCCCTGGGAGTCGAACTTGACGGCCGTCTCGCTGCCGGCGGGGGAGAAGGGGGCTGAAGAAGAAATGAAATGATGAGTGGACAATTGCGAACAATCACACCATGAGAGAATTTTAGCTGCGAGCACCTTTCTGAAGCCTCAAAATGACCATGAAACTTTGACACCATACTTCCTGTTCTATTTCTTGCATGCATACCTGAGACTTTTTTTATGCATGATGTTATGATATACATCGCCACCAAATTCCAGTTCAACAAACTGCTTCCAGGGGCTTTTTTATTTTTTAACCTACATTTCGTGTGGCGTTACTGAGTGTGATTTTGGGCGTAATATTCTCGACCCCGAAAATAAATGCAATGCAATTGTACCAGGGTGCACACGCGTGTAAAAATTGATGAGTTTCAAGACCGTTGAGGTCCACGAAACTTTTTTTCGTTCTTCCCTTTTTTAATCACTCCTTGGAATGGTCAGCAAACATTGAACCCATGCTTCATCCAGACAAGAGGACATAGACAAGAAAGCTTCACAAGTGAGCGCACACATCTGTTTGGAATACTTCCACTTTTGGGTGAATTATCAGCATTAGAAAATAACACGTTACTCTACTACACCCACTTCTTTTTTTACAATCACGACTAACCTAACTACTTCTCCCAAACATATCATCTGTCTACATTTACGTCCATCAAGAACCATTACTGCATTGCAATGAGCAGCATTGACAAGAACCTAGATTTCATTGCAGTTTACTGTCCACCAGCAAAATCAAACATATAAGAGAGGAGGTTCGGTTTGGAAATCCAGTGACTACTTTTAAGCTTGTGTTTCTGAAAGAAAATATTGAGGTATGTTGCACACACACACACACACACACACACACACACACACACACACACACACACACACACTGTGCTGCTGGATCATTGTTATATTCTGATTGGAATTCTAATTGGGGCTGATTTGGTCGAATTCAATTGAAGGAGAACCTGGACTTTACCAGAAAATGTAAAGTTCAATTGCGAGCATGGGTCCTTCAGACTTTTTTGTGCATCATATTACGATAGACATGTCCACTGAATTCTGTGTCAGGCGGAGGAACTGGTGTCTAACTTTGCAGACGGTGCAACTTTGGCAAGGCCTGGTGCTCGGGCTCTCATAATAAAGTCGTGTCTGCGGTGTGTGAGGCTGAAAAACTCAGAGCGAGACATTTTCATCAAGTATTTGCAAAGAGGCTATAAAACGCCTGCTATGCTTGGCCATGTCTGCCTCTGTCAATGGCCTCCAATTTGTCCCCGAGGCAACATCGACACAAACATCACGGCTTCGCAATGAGATCTGACAACACCTCATACCGAAATGCGTCGTTAACAAAGGGCCCGTAAAATCATGGAGGCGTGGAGCAGAGCACAAGATCCCTGGGCATCGCTCTTGCTGCCCACTCGCTGATGGAATTGGCTTCGGGGGCTTCTCTGCGAGGGCGCTACGCTGAGGAAAAGCGCCAAATTGGTTTGTACACAAGTTGTTAGGAGAGGATTAGCGTGGACCCTGAGGACATTGAGCTAGATTGGAACATTGGCGGCGAGCAGAAACGGTAACGGAGAAGCCCACCAGGAAAAGGAGGATCCAAGGAGTGCGAGAAGGTTATTTTGGATGTGACACCGGAACAACTCACCGACAAAACAAAAATGACATCAAATGATTACGTGGTAGTAGCCAGGAAAGAGCAGAACAGACCTTTGGCTTTGGATCTTTCATGAGAATCCGTCACAGATTCTCCGTTATTTGATGAAACGTTGTATTTTTAGTTGCCTGCAGATGTCGCAAGGCAAAGCACTTAGTTTGAAACACGCACCCTACTCTAAGACCCTACTTTGAAACCCAAACTCCCGTTTGAAACCCTAACCCGATTTTGAAACCGTACTTTGAAACCAGAATTTTTCATCTGCTTGTACATTTGTGACCAGTGAATTTGCTGATATGTTTCAATTCATTTCATTTGTCTTAAATATGTTATGCGAACCCTTCTCACGGTTTCTCATTTTTCCACAGATGTTTTTATTTGTTTGTTTTTTCCTTGCCCTAGAGGGGAATAAGATCAGGAGATGTCAATAATATTTAACAATTGTGGGCATGTGAATCGTTTTAAGTCGTTTCTGTGATTGAAGGCTATATAAATAAATTTGACATGGCTTGAAGCTCATCAATAGTATTAGCCAGCATGGATTATTGGTGTCTGCATTCATTTCAATGGGAAAGGATGTTTTGGAACGGGTTTTGAGTAGAGAACGTGGGAACGGAGCAAATCAGTTTGTACTGTATCTCAAGGAACCCGTGCATCTCAAATTTTGGCTTGCAACACAAGGCCAAGAAAACATAACACAGTATTACAATTAATAAATGATAAAAGCAGTAGCTGTAAATATGTCCGATACCCAAGGAGCAGATATTTCCTAAAAACATTTCGGAGGTGTTTCTAATATTCTGTCCCTCTCCAGCAGCTGACGGTTGTCGTTTGTGTCCAGGCAGACTGCTGGCTCCAGCTCGTGGGTTGGACGGCGCAAATTAGCTGGGACTGTGCTGTGAGTGGCATTTAAATTGAAATCTTTGCAAGCGTCGAAAAGCTGCTCCAACGGTGGCGGGAGGTGGGACTTTTATGAAATCCATAAATCACGGAGACAACATAACCCTCGCATCTCCGTCACAGGAAATTCTCCTTGTCAAGTCTATTTCGGAGTTTGGGTGTGGTGGGGGGAGGGAACGCGGTAAATGTTGGGGTGACAGCTAAATGAAAATGATTTAAATAAGCGCTGATAACATCTGCAGACGAGGAGGAGGAGATATGAATCCATTATATTGCCAAGTTGGCAGATAATAAAGTCTGTTAAGAACACTAAAGCAATGAGACAAGCGGGGCCCACCTCCCATTAGACATCCAGACACACCAACACAACAGTTGGCCACTGATTATCATAACGACTCCTTATTAGAATCTGTGCTGAACCCTAATTAGTGTCTGCATAATGAAAACTAAGATGTCCCATTTCGGAGCATTAGCGATCACAAACACCCGAAACCTTGCTTGAGCAGCTTTTTTTCCCCGACTTGTGAGAGGGCGACCAAAAAACCTCAGACTGGCAGATGTTAAGTTGTGCTCAATCTGACCACCCGTCACAGTGCACGGAGGCGCTTTGGGCTACGGCCTGACGCCAAGCTCTGATGTTGGCATGAAGCCTGAACCGGCGTCAAAAGGACAGGCTGATGTCATGTTCAGTGGCGTTAAAGTTAGGCCCCCACTAGGGTTTAGCTTCTTAGCAGCTACAAATACCAAGCCTTGCCACGAATAGCAAAAATCTGCAAATAATTGACACCCATGCAAAAAAGTTTTGCCGTTGATTATAGATGACACAAGATGGCAGAAAAGCTCTTTTTTTACGGAAGAGGATTAGGGCCAATGAAGAAAAAAAAAGAAGGTTGGCAAGATTCTCACTTTAATCTCAGAATTCTGACTTTAAAGTGAGAATTCTGACTTTAGAATTCTCACAGTGAGAATTCTGACTTTAGAATTCTCACTTTAAAGTCAGAATTCTGAGATTAAAGTCCTGGTTGTTATAGTTAGCAAAAACGAACAAAATCAGGAAATCTCTACTAGACACTCCACCACTAGGTGGTGGCAGTGAACTTTTCCTCATATCTGGCAACCATCAGTTTGCGATTTTGCTTTGACAAACCTTTTCTCAGTCCAGTATTGTTTTGGTTGTTTTAGATTTCAAGCAGTCACAAAAACAAAAAATATTCATGTCGAAGTCACTGTTCTGTTTGACATTCTTTACTCTTTTCACAAAAAGTCTCTGCTTTTTTTCAGCTCATTATTTAAAATGTTTGAGTGTTTTCAACGAAGAAAGTTGCCTGAAGATGCAAGTGTGCAATACTGTACATAACATAAACAGTTCTGAAACAATCCATTCCATACACCAGTACAGTACAGTATATACTTTCTAATAGTGAGGAGTCCCGAACATAAGATAACACAACAGCTAATTTTACTAGTATAAGCTATGTCAATGTTGCGAATAGCAGGAGCATGTGTGTTGACATTAGACTGCAAAGTTTAGCCAAGCTTGCAGATGGCGTTATTCTCGCCCCAAATGACTAATCATGACTTTTCCACACCGCTCAGTGACTATAAGCTGCATAACTTTTTACTTTGAGATGGCCCTTACCTACTTATAAACAAACGAACCAAAAGCATGTCTAAAATGAATCCAATTAATTAGAATTCAAAGGTGTTTCTGAGCTTTTATGCGCTCTCCAGTGTGCGGGTAACAAGGGAACGAAACGCTTCTATTCAAAAGAAAAGCTGCTGGGTGGAAAGGAACGGGCTACAAAAATGAAGGTCAGAGGTGTGATTGTAATATCTGAGCATACAGTGATAATGTAGGATGATGAAATTGTCACAAAAAAAAAAAAAGAAAAGTACCATGAGAGCAAGCGGCACACAATGTCCTACAGCAAGTATCCAAAATGAGAAAGTGCTTATTATTGAAGATTAGGGGTGTGGTGAAAAGAGGCTTTTCCATTCAGAATGAGTAATTAATTATGTTCTCGAGCATGTCAGGCTAAGTCTTGCCCAGGGGGGATTGTGGGTATTAAAGGAGAGCAGCGAGAGATAGAGAGAGACGACGACAAAGGAAGTCAGTGGCTGGAAAAAGTCATCTAAAAGTGAGGAGATTAAGGTTGCCAGTTTGGCTTCACTTTTCTTTGTGTGATGCAAATTTGAAATGGTAATTAGGCAAAGGGATAGACAACATTACAATATATTATGAGACTGGACCACATATTAGGGCTGAACTATTCATTGCTTTTGCAGTAACATTGCAAAATAATAAAATCATTGATTTTTGATTGTAGCTAGCTTGCTAGCACAATTAATACATTTTAAAGTCTGTAAACTGCAGCATTAGCGAATTACTCTCACATGTGTTATAATTCTAATTGGAGAAAAACACTGATGTGTAATTAACTTTCTTGTGTTTTGGTACGCAGCTCCTCCGCA